CTTTGATAACTAAGCAGTTACCGAAGTTAGCCCTTCTTAAGGCCGTCACCAAAGTTAGCCCTTCCTAAGGCAGTTACCATGTCTGTGTCCTCCACCTCATGTGGTCTGTGTAGGCAGCTCACAGACTCATGAGAAGGGTAAGTACAAGCCATTTGAGAGTGAGACTAGGTTCCTCTGGCTTATTATTAAGAGTGTGCTGTCATTGTTCTATTTCATCCTTACTTATTGTTGTTATTTTACTGTGCTTAATTTGTAAGTTAAACTTACTCAAGGTGTGCATGAGGAAAACCTTGTATGTCTAAGAGTTCAGTACAATGTAGTTTCAGGCTTGCACTGGGGGTCTGAAAACATCTCCCCATCACTAATGGAGGACAACTGTATGTCCAGGGCAGGACAGAGGCATTGGCCTCTAACTCCCCTGGTGACCCTGCCTATGTCTTGGCAGGGTTAAAACACTGTTAAAGAGTCAAGCTCATTCTTCTCAACTTCTCTCCAAGGCAAAGCTCCTTTCTGCCAGGCTGGCCCCTCTTTCTGGAGGTAAATAGATTGTCTGTCATCAGCCTCAGCTGATTGCAGTCATTCTGCTCATGCCCAGGGCCTAGCTGTGACTTTGTGTTTCATGTTTTTAAGTGGGCAAGTTTGTTGTCTGATTAACATATCCAGCTAATATTCTCAAAGTCTCCAGTCTAGACAGAAAAACACTGTCTCTGGAGTTACTGGTCACAGAAGAATCTTATGATGTTATCATATTACTCTCTTTGGCATGCATGCTAGGGGTTGGCCCAGAGCCTGTTCTTGTTCACTGCTCTGAACCCCCAGACCCTCACCCTGTGTCACCACAGCAGCCACTGGACTGCATGACACACCACGGCTGTCTTTCCTTCACAGCTCTCATTCCCTTTGTGCCCAGTGATGCTCCAGAAGAGTACCAGTAGATGTTTTAAGATTATGGAATCATTACAGAGATCACTTCACTTACTGTTCTTGGAAATGTTCCTTTCTTAGGGGAAGGTTTTATGTATTCCAGGCTGGCCTTGAACTTGCATTGTAGCCAGAATGACCTAGAACTACCTGCACTTCCCAAGTGCTCTTTCTCGTAGCTTTGGGTTTGGAACCCAGGACTTTTTGCATACCGAGAAATTGCTCTATTGACTGAGCTACATCCTCAGCCCCCAGTCCTCCCCAGTTGTGCTGGGGTCACAAGGCTTGTGCTACCAATACCTGGCATGGAAACACTACATCTTGATTTATTTAGTTTATCCGTAGAGTGGCTCTTAATGCTTTATAGTCCCTTCTGATTAATGGCTTTATGGACAGAGTGAGGGCCACATGCAGCTGGTTGGCTCAGATACATCTTTCCCTCACCCAGAAATTAAGACATTCACCTGGGTAAACTTCAGATGGTGGTTGTATTCTGCACATGCTAATCAATGGTTTACAGCTAGAGACACATGCAGTAAGAGCCTCTGTTGTAGAGCAGGCATGGTGGTGCATGCCTTTAAAACATCTTTATTTTAGAATGTTTCATTTATAGTGTATGTGGGTGTTTTGCCTGTGTGCCTGTCTGTGTATTATATGCATGCAGTGTTGTCAAAGGCCAGAGAGGGCAGCAGGTCCCCTGGGACTGAAGTTAACTGATGGTTGTGAGCAGGCATGGAGTGCTATGAATCAAACCCAGGTCCTCTGGAGGAGAAGCCAGTGCTTTTAGTCACCAGGCAGTCACTCCAGCCCTCATACATGCCTTTGGTCCCACACAGAGACAGGAGGCTCTCCGTGAGCTCCAGCCCCGCCAGGGCTGTATAAGCCTAGACTGTGTATGAGCTGAGGATTAACTGATCCTCCTGCTTTCACCTTGCAGCCGTGTGGCACCATGCCCAGGTTTATTCAGTGCTAAGGAATGAACCAAGGGCTAGGCAAGCAGTCTGCCAACTAGCTCCATCCCCAGCCCTGTAGATCTTTAAGAGAAGCCTTTTATAATATGTTTTGCCAATCCTCGGCCAGTTTATCGTTCTGTTTGTCACCAAGTATATGCAGATGTTTATTATGTGCAACAGATACAGACCTCTGTTAAGAACATGTGCCCTGTATGTGCCCTGTCCTCATAGGCTTCAGAGGCCTGTGGCTGGACAATAGGAGACAGAGCGTAGTATAGACTAATAAATGCTACAATAGAGCTAAGTTCTAATCCATAAATACATATTAGCCTTTATTAAGATAAAGTTTACTGTGGGGTGGTGGTAGCACAGGCCTCTAATTCCTGAACTACAGATGAGTTCCAGGACAGCTAGGGCTACACAGAGAAACCCTGTCTCTAAAAAAACAAAAACAAGTCCAGTGTCTGCACTATTTTACATCCCTACAGGTAATGTACTGATTTTTTTTAATGTACTGATTTTTTAAAGTTCATATTTCATTCCCAAATAATTATAACTTTGAAACTCACTAAAGTGAGTTTTGTTTCTGTTTTATTAAAAATAAAAATAAGAATAAAAATGGGCTTCCCTATAAAGTCCAGGCTGGTGTGGAACTTGTGTAGCCCAGCCCAGGCTGACTTGAATCTTAATGTCCCTCCCTTAGCATTCTATGGACTAGGATTAAAAGCACTCAAAGGCAGCCAGGTGTGGTGGCTCATGACTTTAATCCCAGCACTCAGGAAGGCAGAGGCAGGCAGATCTCTGAGGTTGAGGCCAGTCTGGTCCCCAAAGTGAGTTCCAGGACAGCCAGGGCTACACAGAAAAACCCTGTCTCTAAAAACAAAACAACAGCAAAAACATTCAAAGGCTGAGGCAGAAGGATCAGTGAGAGAGTGCTTGACTTCATACATGAGGCCTTAGGTTCAGTCTCCAGCATTGCATAATGCCCAGGCAATAGTGTCTTCAGCTAATGGCAGTGGGCCAACAGGATATCCACACAAAAATAAATTTGAAGTGGTCCAGATAAACTAAAATTACAAACCTCTTAGAAGAAAACATAAAGAAAAGCCTTTGTTGCACTGGAGAAGTGGCTCAGTGGTTAAGAGCACTGGATTCTCCTCCAGAGGACTGGGCTTCCATTCCCAGCACCCACACAGGCTCACAACTGTCTATAACTCCAGTCACAGGGGATCTGACGCCACCCTCTGGCCTCTGAGGGCACCATGCACACACAGGGTGCACAGACACACGTGTAGACAAAACGCCTACATACATAAAATAACTTTGAAAATCAAGACGCCTCTGTGATGCTGAGCTAGGCCCCTAAGTGAGGGGCTTCCTGAGTGCAAGCAGCGAAGGAGAAGGAGACGTTGGGCTTCTGTGGAGTTTAAAAGCTGTGCTGCAGAGGTGCCGTCAAGAGAGTGAAGTGGGGTGGAAGGGGGCTCGTACAGAGGACCAAGGTCAGCTCCCAGCACCTAGGCTCTACAGTGCTAAGCTCCCGGCCTCTACACCCACCTGCATGCATGCACATGCATGCGCCTGCGCTCACAGCACAGATGTAACTAAAAAAGCAAAGGCACAAAAGGAAGTCCCTTAGGACCTGGTATGGCGGTGCACACCCGGGGATTGGAGTGCAAGGGCAGCCTTTGCTACCCATCAGGTTTAAGGCTCGAGGACAGCCTTTGCTGCACATCAAGTTTGGGGCCTGGGTTCCACGAGACCTTTTTCAGACAGACAGACAGATAGAATGTTTTTAAAAGAGGAAGAAAAAAGAAAATGAAATGGAGGTAGGCCTTTGGTCCAACTCTAGTTCTGCCAACAGAACTAGGGCTAGCTCTAGAAGTCTGAAGGAAATGTGTACAGTGTCTGATAAGGGCCTATTGTCCAGGACAGAGAACACTGAAAATTCCGACAAACTAAGTAATGAGACAGCCCAATAGAAGTGCACAAAAAAGGGCTGGAGAGATGACTAAGCGTTTAAGAGCACTGGCTATTCTTCCAAAGGACCCAAGTTTAATTCCCAGCACCCATACGGCAGCTCACAACTGTCGTAACTCCAGTTCCAGGGGATCTGACACCCTAACACAGACATACATGCAAGTGAAACACTGATGCACATAAAAATAAATAAATTAAAGAAAGGCACAAAAGAACCAGGCGTGGTGGCGCACGCCTTTAATCCCAGTGCTGAGGGAGGCAGAGCCAGGTGGATCTCTGAGTTCAAGGCCAGCCTGGTCTACAAAGCGAGTCCAGGACAGCCAGGGCTACCCAGAGAAACCCTGTCTCTAAAAACAAATAAATAAACAAAAACCACCACCAACAACAAAAATGTACAAAAGACAGCCCTTCCTGCAGAGAAGGGCTTCAGAGAAATGCAGGTCAGGACCAGTGAGCCGCCACTGCCCATCCCTGGCACGTCTCTGTTCTGAAGTCAGATGGGCGGGGTAGAGCTCCCTCACTGCTCGTCTACCGAGCCACCCTCCGGGGGCAGCATCTTCCTGGACTCCACTGTATCAGTGCTTCTCAGGGTTAGACACACTTAGGGCTGAAGTGCGCAGATAAGAGGACCCTCTGCGTTTAAGGGGTGGGGAGGCCCTAAGCACTGTTCCCAAATGAAAATATTGAGGGCATTTAACTAAAACTTTTTTTTTTTTTTTGAGTCTAGGTCTTTCTGTGTAGCCCAGGCTGGCCTTGAATTCACTCAGATCCACCTGCCTCTCCCCGTTGAGTGCCAGGATTGAAGGCGTGCATGCCGCACACAGCCTAGCTAATTGACATTTTGTGACTCATGCACAGACTGACCCAGTGGCCTGTCACTGAAGAGATTAAGTCAAGAGAACCATGCAGGCCCCAGGACTGTAACGCCGTGAGCAGCATAGCAAGAAATGGTCTCAACATGGAAGAGCAGTCTGAAAGTACTGCACACACGCAGCTCAACAGTCATTACATGCGCTTTGTATTTGGTAGAAACGTGTGTGATGTGGTTTGGGAGGAAAACCAAACAATTTGTTCTCTCAGAGAGTTGAAAGGCAGTAGCCTTGTGCAGGAAGAACTTTAAAGAAAACATCGCTTTGCTTTTGTTCTCAGGGACTTCATTTTGGAAGACATGGATCTTGCTGCTAATGAGATCAGCATCTATGAGAAACTTTCAGAGACTGTTGATTTGGTGAGACAGACAGGCCATCAGTGTGGAATGTCAGAGAAGGCAATCGAAAAGTTTGTCAGACAGCTGCTGGAAAAGAATGAGCCTCAAAGAGGACCACCCCAGTACCCTCTCCTGCTAGCCGTGTATAAGGTAACGTGCTGCTTGGAGAGCCCACCTCAGGCACTTCCTCGTCCCTTCCAGTCACTGCTGGCCAGTCTCAGTCCTGAACTGGACTTTTCTAGTATGAACTGATCGCTGCTGCTCTGGTGTGTTACCAGGAAATGTGACTGTTGTCGGCTGGCACTGAGTGAAAGCTGTGTCTCCATAGTGGAGGTAGCATCTGGTTGTGGGGTGGACTTTGTGGGCCTCAGAGTTCTCGAGCTTTAAATGCCTTTGGAGGTGCAGGCAAATGGCTTGTTTAGGAAGTGGGCTAGCTCTAGCTACACTGGACATAGCCAAGAGGCTCGTTTTTCTCCTCAGTGGTATGGGAATTTCTTTGTTGGGGCAACTCTTAACGTCACTCTCGTCTTTCCTTCCAGGTCCTCCTAACTCTGGGATTAATCTTGTTCACTGCCTACTTTGTAATTCAACCTTTTAGCTCATTAGCACCTGAGCCAGTGCTTTCTGGAGCTCACACCTGGCGCTCGCTCATCCATCATATTCGGCTGATGTCCTTGCCCATTACCAAGAAGTATATGCCAGAGAATAAGGGCATTCCTCTGCGAGAGGAGGACAAGCCCTTACCAGGTTAGGAAATGCGGTGTTTGATTTGTTTTCTTTGAGATAGGACCTCATGTCGCTGAGCCTGTCCTAGAACTTGATTTATGTCTCAGGCTGGCCTGAGACCCATCGGTGCTGGGATTATAGGCATGTGCCACGCTGCCACCTGAAATCCAGTTCTCTTGACAGTATTTGATGGAAAAGGATTATTGGGTCTAATAAGAGACACGTTCCCAGTGCTGTATGGTGTGTCACAGCCCGTACTAAAACTGTGGGATGGGATGAGTTGGTTTGTTCATATTTTACAGACAGGGAAACGAGGCCCAGAGAAGCATGTCTGTGAGGCCACGTTCAAGTTCTTTAATGTTAGGGCACCACGTTAGGGGTGGCTGTCCACAGTGCCTGCCCTCTCTGCTTAGGGTCTTCCCCTGTGTTCTCTGCCCGTGGTGGAGAGCTCTAGCCAGGTCTGTGCACCACTGTTGTCCTGTTGAGCTGGTGTTTGCCGCTCTGCCGCCTTTCTCTGTCTCAGCGCCACGGATGGAGTGCTCCAGGGTGTGACAGTTTGGCCAGCACAGCGAGTTCAAGAGACACTTCAGCCTCACAGATGTGAGGAGGCTTCTGGGAAACAGTGCAGTGTGGCCACTCCAGACATTCTTGTTGAAGAGTAGAGGGATGCTGTCCAGGGAAATGAGTCCTGTGTTCTCTCCCCCTCCTCTTCCCTTTCTCCTCCTCCAGGCTGGAGAGACGGCACTGTGAGCAGTCTATGCTAGACCTTCTGCTGAGCTTACTCCCAAACCCCTTTCTAAGTTTTGAGAAAAATGTATTTATTAGTGTCATGTGCATCGTGTGTGTGTGTGTTACAGGCACACGTGTGCCACAGCACTCACATGTGCAGGACAGATGAACCTTTCCGGATTGGTTCTCTCCTTTTGACTGGGTTCTGGGGATTGAATTTAAGGTGTCAGACTTGCCTGGCAAGTGCTCGCACACAGTGACCCATCCAGCTGCCCAAGCTCTGTTTTTGGTTTTGTTTGCTTTCCTTTCTTTCTTTCTTTCTTTCTTTCTTTCTTTCTTTCTTTCTTTCTTTCTTTCTTTCTTTCTCTCTTTTTTTTTATTGTGTGTGTGTTAATAATCTCATTTGTCCACATTTTTAATAACTTTGTTCTGAAACCTTTAGAATCTAGGATAAGTTTTAAAAATGTTTTCAGAGAAAAAAAACTTGACTAGTGTAAGCTAACTTTTATAAAATCATAGTGTCTTAAGCCCTACTTTATCAGTCATAAAAATCGCCTCTTGGATTAGTCACCTTTGAAGCTTTCTGTGTACATTTGAGGAAGTTATGAATTGATTTCCCAAATTATATCAAAACCAGAGGAAGGGAACATTGTATGATAAGAACTCTGCACCATGACTTTTTTGTCTGTGGGGATTTATTTTTAAACTGACCAGAAATATCCTGTTTACTTATTGCCATACAGTTGAATACAAATTTCCAGTACCACAGTTAACAATTCCATTTGAAAATGTTGACACAACTTTCACAAATTGACATTTCCTCTCACAAGTTTCTGACATACAAGAATTTAGATATTACTGAAAACATTGACACAAAAGGTACTTGCGGCTGCCAGGCAGTAGTGACGCGACCTTTCATCCCAGCACAGGCAGAGGCTGTGACTTCAAAGCCAGCCTGGTCTACAGAATGAGTTCCAGGACAGCCAGGGCTACACAGAACCCCACCCCTCCCCCAAAAAGATACTTGTGGCTGTCTGCACAGGGTGACCCCAGCATCATCCCATCATAAATGAGGAGGTGCTCCTGAGGCCCCGCCCCACCCTGAGGGGCGCTGGAACTTAACTGCTGCTGGGCAGGGGGAGCATTTCCTCCGTGGGGTAGTCACTGCTGCCCGCGCTCCAGTAAATGACCCCACCTGTGCTCACACAGACAGCCTGATTGGACTCAGTGGACAGTTCTCAGTCAAGACACACATGGGCAGTGCAGGGCCTGGGCTGACCCTCACACAGAAGCTGGGTCTTTACGCACACTGATGCTCTCTGCATTCTACACCTTCAAAGGAAGGAAGGCACGGATCCAGCATCACTGAGGAGTTTGGGGAATGGCAGGCCCTTCATTGCTTCAGAACCAAGGAATTAACAAGACTTAAGAAATACTCAGATTTGAAAAGCCTTTTTTCTTGTGGTATGGAGATCGTTCTTGGAGCCTTGTTGGTGCTAGGCGAGTCCTACCACCAAGCTACTCTGAGCCCTGCCTTGCTCTCCCACTTGCAGAATATGCTCACCTTCTGAGACAAGAACTCTGACAAGTACCTCCTGGGTGCCAGGCCTTGTGCTATAGATTCCATGCCTTCACAGCCCCTCATAAGTGTATCCACCTCAGAATGAGGAAAGTGCTGTGCTGACTGACTAACTTGCCGAAAGCAGGAGAGAAGTGTCTCAGGCCAAGCTCAGCCTGATTTTTGACATTTCAAACAGTGGGCTGAGCCCATCCCTGGGGAGAACGTGGAAGACAGGTTGTGAACTTTACCGAGCACGTTTCTGTCCGTTCCCAGGGTGGCCTCGCCTTGCTGCTGCAGCCTGGAATGGCGGCAGCCACAGGCTGGGCAGAAATTAGAAGCAGCATTTTATAGAGCTGAAGGCAGGTTCTGAGCCAGGGTGGCTTGGTTCCCTGGCTGCTGCTGCTGCTGCTGTTTTCCCAGATAGGATTTTCCTTACTGGCATGGCCTCCTGCCATTACTACAGAGAGCACATCAGACAAAACCTTCGTAGGGATGGAGGCCCAGCCAGAGTCTGGCCATTCCTGTACTGTTGGGATACTGTGGAGGATGAACCTGTGCCTCCGTGCTCCATCACAACCCATGGCTGAGTCCTCCTCAGCGGTCTCAGGGCTGTGTAGAAAGCAAAAGTAGCTCTTCCGCTTAACAACCTGTGTTACCCAGTCCTCGAGATTCCTCTCCCTCATCGGTCTGCTCACTTTGCTAGCCATGAGGCCAGCCACCTGCTCTGCTCCTGCAGGGGCCTCTCAAGGCTGTTTTAGGAGAGATTAGCCCAGTCTCAGTTGATGAGACTCTTGGCTTAAGTTTTCCCGATCTCCAAAAACATTTTCACTAGGAAGATACGTAACGGATATGAAGTCAAGGTAGAGACATAAGATTTTGTTTTTAAGGAAAGTACTCTTGGGCTGACAAATTAGCGCAGAGGGTAAAGATGCCTGCCTTGTGAGCCTGTCAACCTGAGTTTGGTCCCCAGAGCCCACATGAAGGTGGAAGGAGAGAGCTGACTCCATAGAGTTGCTCTCTGGCCTCCACGTGCTGTCTGTGGCAAGCATGCCCACACGGGGTCATGCATACACCCAGAGACAGGAAGGAAGGAAGGAAGGAAGGAAGGAAGGAAGGAAGGAAGGAAGGAAACAGGGTTTCTCTGTATATCCTTAGTTGTGCTGGAACTCACTCTGTAGACCGGGCTGCCCTTGAACTCACAGAGATTTGCTTGCCTCTGCCTCCTGAGTGCTAGGATTAAAGGCGTGCATCACCCTTGCCTGACTCAATATACATGAAAGACTGAGAAGCAATTAAAACATTTTCTGTTTCATCTTGGTTTGTTTGTTTGTTTTGAGACAGGGGTTCTCAGTGTATATTTATTTGACCTGTGTAGACTAGGCTAGCCTTGAACTCAGATCTACCAGCCTCTGCCTCCTGAATGCTATGATTAAAGGCATGTGTCACCATGCCTGACTGAAACTTTCCTTTAAAATAAAAACACTCTGCGGCTGGAGAGCTAGCTTACTTACTTGATAAAACACTTGCCCTGTAAGTGTGAGGACCTGCCTTCGCTACATGGATCTTATGGCAGAAAAGCCTGGCATGATGGCACACGTTTATAAAACTGGGGGTGCTGGGGTGGGTGGGAGCCTGGACTCAGTGGCCGCCGGTCTGGTCTGTGTGGTGTGTCTGAGGATGACTCCGGAGGCTGAGCTCGGGTGTCTTCTGTCCTCCATACACATGCGCATGTATTACAGGCACACCTACACACATAGGCGCTCATTCAAATGAAAAGCCCTCCTTCTTAGTGCTAGGGTCGGGTCCGGGGCTTAGCCTTCCCCCAGCCCTAAAAATAGATACTTTAAAAATAGGTTCTCGGGCTGGAGAGAGGGCTCAGAGGTTAAGAGCACTGCTTGCTCTTCCAGAGGTCCTGAGTTCAATTCCCAGCAACCACATGGTGGCTAACGACCATCTATGATGAGATCTGCTGCCCTTTTCTGGCATTCAGGTGTACATGCAGACAGAACACTGTATACATAATAAAATAAGTAAATCTTAAAAAAAAAAATAGGTTCTCACTATATTTCCAGGATGATTTTCATGATATTCTTTGTTTGTTTTGCTTTCAAGACAGGGTTTCTCTGTGTGTAGCCCTGGCTGTCCTGGACTCCCTTTGTTGACCATGCTGACCTCAAACTCACATCAATCCTCCTGCCTCTGCCTCCTGAGTGCTGGGACTAATGGCATTCCCTCCTACCCCCTCTCCCCCCTCTGCTGCCCCCCCCCCCCCACCTGCCCACTAATCTTTATTATACTTTTGCCTTAGCCTCCTCCTAAGTTCTAGGATTACCACAGGCTTGTACCACCACAGTTGGCCCCAAAACGACCTTTATTACACAAGTATATGCATATATATGATTCCTTCTTGGGTCATGTGTACATAAAAAAACTTTACATGTACACTGTTCCTTAGATACACTATTCTTTTCTAATGCCACCGAAACCCAGCATGGCTCAAAGCAACACAAATTATCCTGGAAATCCTGGGAGCTAGGATCCTGAAATGAAGTGTTGGTAGGGCTGTGTTCCCTCCAGAGGCCCGTGGCACCCCTCTAGCTGCTGGTGGTCAGTAGCACCTCTCCCTTCTCTTGCTTGTGGTCCCACTCACTGTCTGCCTCCATCCTCGCGTGCTGTCTTTCCTCTGTGGTTTTGTGTGTCCTCTCCTCTTGTAAGGGCATCGTTCAGATTGGCTTCAGGGCCACTCTATCTGCAAAGGAAGATACTGTCTCCGAGTCCAGACAGGATGGGGCTGCTGTTCAACCCATTGTATTTTGAGGGATTTTTTGTTTTGTACCATCCTATAATTTAGTCTCCAGATTTTCTCTCGCTTCTACAATGTGAGGTGTCTATGCACTTAACCTCTATGTCTGTGTGTCTATATAGACACAGAAATAAATGTGCATGAAAGATCCCCGGAGGGTATCTTTCGTCAGAGAGACCCCCTCCCAAGGATCAACGAGGCCATTCGGATGCAAACAGCAAGAGGCTTTTATTTTGATACTCGGGTACCCGGGGCAAAAAGTCATTCGGAAGACTTCTGCGCCCCCTAGATGGGAAGCTGGGGTTTTTATAGGGTTTTAGAGGCAGAAGCACTGGTACAGAAACGAGAGGGCATGGTTACAGGGGGCTGATTGGTACGTTTACACGAGACCACAATTTGCGTCAAAGTTTGGCAGGGGCACCAAGATTCCAGGAACTGGGTGGTCAAGGGGGGTAGGATGACCCCTTGACGTGGCCCGACACCTGTTATTTTGTTTTTCCCTATCTTAGCTGAAACAGTCTCACAGATATCTATGAGAGTGATTAACACAAACTGTTTTTAGTATGACTGGGGCACCCTGACCACAGATATCCCAAGTGGGTGACACAGCTAGGATTTCTCAGTAATTTTCCAGTTTCTCATCTGGCCTTCAGAGTTTTACAAAACAGTGGTGTCTCACAAAATGGCATTAGCTATGTTTAACTTAGTGTGAGGCTGGGGTCTTTCAGTGCACTCTTGTTCCTGCGCTGTGTGACCCGCAGCCAGGCGTAACTCTGTCCCCGCACCTGGAGGCTGAGACACAAGTTTTACAAGTTTAAGGCTAGGGCAGTCTGGGCTATGTGGTAAGATTCTCTCTCTCTCTCTCTCTCTCTCTCTCTCTCTCTCTGGGCTATGTGGTAAGATTCTCTCTCTCTCTCTCTCTGTGTGCGTGTGTGTGTGTGTGCGCGCGTGTGCGCGCGCGTGCGAGAACAGTGTACATTTGAAGATCAGAGAACAACTTTCTGGAGCCGGTTCTCTCCTACACATGGCATCCAGGGATTGAACTCCAGTTATCAAGCTTGTGACAGAACCACTTTTAACGCCAAGCCATCTCAGCAACCTAAGACATTGTCTTTAAAACCTAAACAGGCCAGGCATGGTGGTGCACACCTTTAATCCAAGCACTGGAGAGACAGATCTCTGTGAGATCAAGGCCAGCCTGTTCTGTATAGCGAGTTCCAGGCCATCCAGGGCTCATTGTACAACCATGTCTCTAAAAGTAGAAGGGAGGGTGTTGTTGCAGATGGCTTTAATCTCAGTACTTGGGAGGTGGAGGCAGGTGGATCTCTGAATTCAAAACCAGCTTGGTCTACATAATGAGTTCTAGGACAGCCAGGGCTTCATAGAGGGATCCTTTCTCAAAAGAAAACAAACAAACAAATGCTAGAGAGATGGCTCAGGAGTTAAGAGCATTTGCTGCTCTGCCAGAGGACCTATGTTCAATTCCCAGCACCCACCTAGCTGTTCACAACCTCTGTAACTTTAGTTCCAGGGGATCTGTCACTCTTTTCTGACCTCTTCAGAAACCTGGCATGCAAATAGTACCCAAACATACATGCAGGCAACACGCCATACAAGTAAAATAAATACAGTAATAATATAATAAAAATCATGTCCTATCTTTTTCTCAACTTATTCCTTAAACTTCATCATTTATATCTTTAAGTAACCTGGAATATACTTCTGTGTATATTGAAAGATTAGAGGTCAGATTACTTTCTTGCAGATAGTAATCCCTGCTCCTTTTAAAAAAAGGTTTATTTTTATGTGCATTGGCTTTCTGCCTGCATGTTTACCTGTGCAAGGTGCCAAATCCGCTGGAACTGGACTTAGGATTGTGAGCTACCATGTTGGTGCTGGGAACCAGACGCCTCTAGAATTGCTGCTAGTGCTCAGCTGCTGAGCCACCTCTCCAGCCCCGAGATTCCTGCTCCTCAAATGTTTTCGGAGTCACCCACCTGTCCACAGATTTAGAAACAGACCCACACATGCGCAGGGGTGCTCCATTCCCACATTCTCTTTGTGCCTTAGCTTCTTGCCTGAGGGGTGTTTTCTCCACTTGCAGGAGACACGTGGCTCTGTTATGCTGTTGAAAGCTGTGAGCTTTAACAGCAACAGCCCATGCTCATCATCTGTAAGATGCTTCTCACCCACACTGGGTTAGTGTGTTGACGCATCGTCACTAGAGGACCCGCAGGGCTCTGCAGTAGTTTTATGGTTAGTGTATAACTGTGTTGTGTCTGCTCCTGTTTTCTTTATTCAATACATGATATTCACTTATTAATGCTTCAGGCAGCAGCATTTTTATTCATGCTTGCATAAAAGTTATCAACATAATTTCTTTGCAAGGCGCCACATACAGCCTTCCAGTACCTAGGAAGACTGGACAACACTTCTGGATCACACTTGAGATTTTAAACAATAATAAACTTCAGTTTCTTGAGCAGTCTTGAGTTCAAAGCAAAATCACCAGGGCAAAGTACAACAGGTTCTCACACGGCCTCTGTCACCACACATGTGCTGCCTCCCTGGCACCCCGGTGTGATGTGTGACGTAAGAGCGGAGCATCTCCAGGGCTGTCTGCACCGGGATTCCCTGCCCAGGCCCAGAGGCGCCGAGAGCACCGTAAAGTCAGTGGCTTCTGTCCCCAGCATGGCATTGACTGTCAGGAACGTAACACGCGTATTTACTACTGTCTTGTATATAAATGCTTTAGTCCTTCCCCCTTGGTAAGTTCTTGTTTGTTATTATGAATCAGGTCATTTTTCCACTTTGGCTTCAGCTGATCTCATGGCTAGACGAGTAAGAAAGCTGTTGACTCTCGTTTGTTTTTGGTTTTTTGATATGGGGTTTCTCTGTGTAACAACCTTGGCTGCTGGGATTAAAGGCCTTTAATCTTTTTTAAGGTGAGGCCTTGCTCTGTGGTCTAGCCTCAAACTCACAATCCTCTTGCCTCAGCCTTCCAAGAGGCTGCTAAGTTGTCCATGCTGAAGTGTGACCTCGTGTACTGACGCTGTGTCCAGCCCTGTTAGTACCGGGGCGCCGCTTAGACTTAGGGGCAGCACCCAGGCTTTCTCTTGGTTCCCAAGTCTCTCAGTGTCCCATGAGTGTCTCCTTGCCAAAGCATCCTCGCCAAAGCCTCTTCACCCAGGTATCACCCCATAATAAAACCTAACAGGGCACAGGCCTAGACTAGAGTGGAGTGCCTGCCTAGCAGGCTCACATCTCAGGAGGTTCCATCCCCAACACCCCCAAACCAAACAAGCCCCAAGTTACAGTTAAAAGTTCATTGCTGCTGCTAGCCACCAACCATCTGTACAGATTAGAAGATCCCCTCTTCCTGACACTCAGCTCTCACCTTGAGAAGATTTTCATAATTAACTGATTCTGACAAAATGGCATTACTGTAGAACAAGTCCGCAGTGTAGAGCTCAGCGTGAGGAGATCGGCAGACCTCCCACAGTGGTGCTCCCCAGACACTGACGGTGCCAGCCCTTGCTGATGCCAGGGAATGCCATGAGACTCTGGCCGCATCTTCCTCACTACCCTTGCAGTCCACGCTTTTCCAGACTGCCACGCCCCTGACTTCTCAGTACACTCACTTCTCATTAGTTGTTCCTTGTCCAACAAAGGTTAAAGCCCAAATATAACCAGGCCTTCCTCCTACTGGCCCCTCTCAGGACATCTTAGTCACAACCTAGAATAACCTTCCTAAAACATCAGAAACCAGTGCTCGAAAGCCTCTGACCGCCCCCGTGGGGGCAGCCAGGCGTGCGTGAAGCCCTTGCGGCCTTTGCCACCTTCCGCTGCAGCTCTGCCCCCGCCGCCCCTGCTGTAACTCTAGTGCTCTTTCCATCTCCTCGGGTGCCTGGGGAATGCCTTATGCACTAGCTCGCATGCAGCGTCTGTTCCGAGAGACAGAAAGGAAGCCTCACACCGAGCACCGCACGAGGCTGAGTGCACGCGGGCTTAGACAGGCCTCTTTCTCATCATTGTAACTTCTCGTTTTATGCTTCACTGTGCATCCGTTACCTGGAAGGAGCTCTTGTACTTTGACAAGAAATCACACCTCTGCACTTAGGAGGCAGATCTCCGTGAGTTTGAGTCAAGGACAGCGAGGGCTGTTACACAGAGAAACCCTGTCTCCAAAACACAAGAGCCGAGGGTTGGGGCCACACCAGAACACGTGCACATGAGGGAGCGCCTGTGCACCGCCCACCCAGTGCCGGAGACGTCAGACAGGCCAGGCTCAGGTTAGAGGCCCGGAGAACTGTGTAGCTGAACGCTCGTTGCCTCTGTCACGCTCTGCTGAGCGGTGTGACTCAGGATTCTTTCCACAAAGTCTAGAAAAGCATATGAAGAAAAGTGTCTCTCTTTCCCAGGACCCTGCCCTCCACACCTCCTTGCAGAGGTCTCCAGAGGAAACTGCTGCTTTGCTGTCTGTGTTTGTTCCTAGGGCTGCTAGGCTCACCACCTGTTCTTCTGTTCCTGTCTGTTCTGTTTCTTCTCTCTCAGACTTGGACCCCTGGTCATCAAATGATTGTGAGCAGAACAAGTCAGAGCCCATCCCTGCCAACTGCACTGTCTGTGCCCAGATATTACCCCTCAAGGTAACGCTCCCAGAGGATATGCCGAAGACTTTTGAGAGACTCCGTCCTCTGGTGATCAAGGTAGGTAAGAAGCCAGGTTTTCCTATGGACAGCCTGCCCCTACAAGGCTGGATCAAGCCCTGCAAAGCTGTGGTAGCTAACTGTGTTCTGTGTCTTTCTGTGTCACCAAGACTGGACAGCCTCTGTTGTCTTCAGAGATTCAGCGTTTCTCATGCCAGTATCCTGAGGCCACAGAGGGCTTCACCGAGGGCTTTTTCACCAAGTGGTGGCGCTGCTTTCCTGAGAGGTGGTTCCCATATTCTTACCCATGGTGAGTGTGAAGAGTGCTTAGCATATGTGGGGAAGGGGCCCGGGCCGGCCAGGTGTCAGAGCAGTGAGAGCCAGCTCTATGCGATCAGCTCACAGCACACCTCAAATAAGGAGGGAAGCCAAGTCAGCCTGCACGAAGCACAGGGAGGCAGGGAACAGGGTGTCTAAGGAAGGACACTGCCATGCAGACGCTCCTGCTTTCCTAGTGCTGTGATAAAACACCATGACCAAGGTGTTTATTTGGGCTTGTATTTCCAGAGCAGTAAAAGTTGATCTCTTCGGGGCAGGAGTGATGGCTCTTAAGCGCTTCTACAGGCTGCTCTTCCAGAAGTCCTGAGTTCAGTTCCCAGCACCACATGGTGGCTCACAACCATGTAAATCTTGTGCCCTCTTCTGGTGTGCAGGTGTACACGCAGACAGAACTTGTATGCATAACAGACAAATGTTTTTTGTTTTTTTAAAGAGTCGTCATCTACACCAAGCAGACAGTCTTTAAACTCTCAAAGTGACACACCTCCAGCAAGGCCACACCTCCTAAGCCTCCCCAAACAGTGCCCGCCTAGGACCAAGTTCTCAAATTACCTGAAGCCATGCAGGATATTCTCATTGAGACCATCATGAGCTTGATTGCATCTGCTTAACCTGTGTTCTGGTGGAGAAGAGCTGGGAGGGTTGAGGGCTAAAGAGAGAGCCTGACAAATAGAACCGCTGCCCCTGGGGCCATGGCGCAAAGCAGGGCTTCTCAGCCCACTTTGCAGATCAAAGGGTAGATTCAGCTGCCCAAGCTCACTCAAGCCAATTGAAACCGGTTTGCTTTCCAGTCCTTTTTGATTTCTGCAAAAAACATGGGCCATCCTTGAGGGCTAAGGCTCCCTCTGGCAAGAAAGGAAGAGCCAGCTCCCATGGAGAACTGGTTCAAAGGAAAATTAAAATTGCACTTTACCTGTTTTGTTGGATAACTTCCTTTTTTTTTTTTTAAGATTGATTGATTGATTGATTGATTGATTGATTGATTGATTATGTGGATGAGTGCTCTATCCAAATATACACCTGCCTGCCGTAAGAGGGTGTCAGATTCCAATATAGATGGTTGTGAGCCACCATGTGGTTGCTGGGACTTGAACTCAGGACCTCTGGAAGAAGAGACAGTGCTCTTAACCTCTGAGCCATCTCTCCAGCCCCAGATAACTTTTTAAGATATTTTTTACATTAAATTTTTTATCACAGTCATTAATTTCTTGTGTGTATGTGTGTGAGTACCATGCTATCGTATATGTGTGGGGGTCAGAGGACAACTTATAGAAGTCAGCTCTGACCTTCCACCCTGTGGGGCCTGGGATGGGACTCCCTGAGCCACCTCGGCACGGCAGCCCCAGTGCTGGACAGTTTCCTTTTCTTAAACAAAATAAGCTCTTACCTCTGAACCATCCAGGCCCCTCAGCTGTGGGGTCAGGCCATCTCTGAGTTGATTCTCCCCCACCACTGAGTGGGATCCAAGGGGGAGCTTTCCTCAGGCTCACACTTGAGTTCCTCTGTCTGCTGAGCCATCTCCCTGCCCCACCTTTTTAAAATTGTCATCTATTGTGTGTAGAATGCCCAGTTTAGCAGGCTGCTGGGCTGCTCACTGCTCCCGTTCTGCGCCCTCTTGCCCCTGCATCCAGCCTGCTGTTACATCAGCTTCAGCTTCTTTCCCAGACAGAGTGCGTGCATTCTTGTCCTATGCATGGCTTCGGCTGGAACTTAACATTCCACCCACACATACAACTAACGGTAGGGCTTCTCCCAGTGCCTGACACCGATTCTGCATGCCCATCATCGTGGCTCTGATGCTTAAGATACGGTCCCGCAGGCTGAGATGACACATGCCAGGACTCCCGGGAGCTTCAGCACTGGGCTGTGGAGGCCCAAGCATCAGGGAAAGGGTCCTCAGCTACAGAGTGAACAGGCGACCCACTAGGATCCAGGAGAGCCTGACCCAAAGAGACTTAAGAGGTCGGACAAGACTGTAGTTAAGAGCGCTTGCTGCTCCAGAGGACCTGGCTTTGGTTCCCAGCACCACAGCAGGGCTCCTGTAACCAACTCCAGGGGATTAACTCCCTCTTCTGGCCTCATGCGGTACCTGTAGCATGCACGCACATGCGTGTGTGTCTTAGTCCAGCTCTTTGCCCTCTGCACAGCAGCTGCTGCACCCCCACTCTGAGCTCCTGCAGTGGGCCAGCTGATCTGGCTGGTGACTTGTTTGTTTCTGTTTCACCTTTTCAGGAGAAGACCTCTGAACAAATCACAGATTTTACGGGAGCTTTTTCCTGTTTTTACACAACTTCCATTTCCAAAAGACACCTCCTTAAACAAATGCTTCCTGATCCAGCCGGCACCTGTGGTGGGTAGCAAGGTAGGACACGCTGGAGGACTTGGCTCTAGAGTTCCCCCCTTTGGGGTGTGCACTGCTGGGGTGAGGCCCTCCCTGCATGCAGACTCATGGAGTCTCCCCACTGCTGCTGGCGCTCTGGCCTGAAGGGACCTTCCCCGGAACTCCTCACCTGCAGATCGTAGCCCGCTGCTTCTCCTCTCTAAAGGAGTAGGGAGTTGCCCTAATGTCCCTACCTCAGATCAGAAGTCGGCAGACAGTAGATGCTCAGTGTGTCATCGTCATGTCAGTCCTTTTTGTAAACAGAGAAATGGAACCTGAGAGAGAAACCTTTTACCCGAGTTTAGCAGCTTTGAAAAACCCACCTACAAACGAGAGTCACGGCAGAGAATTGGAAAGGCCAACACGAGGTCCTGTGACATCTGAATGGCACAGGAAGGCCAGTGGCTGACCCGCCTATCCTACCCTCTTCCAATGGGTCTATCCACTTTGTCTGATTGCTTTTTTTTGAGTTCCATTCCTGAGGAAGGTTTCTGAGTTGGATTGAGTTGAATAATTAAAGGGATAAATTTTCCTTTATTTAAAAAAAAAAGGGTCCCACCTGTGGCTCTGGTTTGTGGTTTGTTTCTGCAGCCTCCTGATACTCCTAATTTGTTCCAGACTTGCTGAACTGTCTTGAAGGAATTTAAAAGCGTATAAAACCCACTTTGTGTAGGAGTAAGAATGACTGCCTGCAGTGTGGGGAAGGGCCGGGCTCTCACCTCAGACTTCACTGTTTTGGCCTGCTGTGTCCAGCTAGAACTCAGGGCTCCAGTATGATTTCATTCTCATAATCATGAGAGAATTCTGGGCGAGGGACTTTATCTTCATTTTCCCACTTGAGTGCTGAAGTGAATTTCCTCAGCTTGCTGAGTACAGGGGAGTCCAGCCAGAGGAATAAATGCAGCCATTCAGATGGTTATCGAAGTTGTCTTGTGGGGTGTTTTGAGAAGGGAGTGGCCGTGGAGGCAGAGATCCTGAGGGCCCTGTTTCTTAGAATATGTGTATCCCCACCCTGGCCTGTGGCCTCACTACTCCACCCTGCTGTCCTCCTCCCAGTCCCTGGGCCCTGGGAAAGCCGTGGCCCAGTGTCCCAGGACAGTCTTAGGATAGAGAGAAATAGAGTCTGGTCACTATGCAGCCCCCCCTTCCCTAGTCCTCCGTGTTGTCTGGGGCTGGCGCTCAGTCTTCCCTGCATCTGAGCCTCTGACACTATGAACAAGGGGTGCACCTACCTGGTTGTGGTCTTGTGGACCTACTTTCAGGTAGTTAGTGCCTGCTCCCTTCAAGCCAGCTCAAGCTAAGAGGCCACCTCGGGTGCCCCTGGTTGCCATTGAAGTGGCTTCATGCGGCTTGGAGACACACTTGGGAAACTGTCTGCTCTCTCTGTCACCGAGGATGTTGCCCAGTAAATCACACAGTTGCTCTGAAGAGCCCATCGGTGGCTACAGAGAGCCTCAGTGATTATGAAGCCTTCTGCTCTTACAGAAGAAGACCCAAGTTCAGTTCCCAGCACTCACGTCGGGCAGCTCACGGTTCCTATGACTCCAGCTCTATGTGTTTTGGTTCCCTGTTTAGCCTCTGAGAGTATCCACATGTAGATTCACAGATAATAAGATTTAAAATATTAAAAATAATAAAGAACACATAGAAGAGATTTTACTCTGGTCTCAGTTCCAGGAGATGTAATGATTTAGGAGAGACTCTTTGTTTTGTCTTTTAGTCATAATTATAAAATTTGTTATTAATCATGTTTTTCTCATTGCTCTGCCTGCTGGGAAACTAGCCATATGGAAGGCCAAGCATTTGGGCCTTTAATCTTAGCACTCAGGAGGTAGAGGCAGGTGAATCTCTGTGAGTAAAAGGCCAACCTGGTCTACATAGAGTTCCAAGACAGACACACCCTGTCTCAAAAAAAAAAAAAAAAAATTTTTTTTTTTAATTAAAAAAGGCCAGTATGTGTTAAGGATTTTGTCTACTAATTGCCTGTTCTTTTTTCTTCTTTCTCTTGTACCCTTTTTACTCCAGATGCATAAGGTACATGACCTGTTTACTGTTGGCAGCGGGGAAGCCATGCTGCAGCTCATCCCTCCCTTCCAGTGCCGGAGGCACTGTCAGTCGGTGGCCATGCCCATAGAGCCTGGGGATATTGGTATGTAAGGTTTCCGGAGGACAGAGACCGTATTTCTAAGTATCAAACGCTGCCTTCAGGAAGGTTCTGTCCAGTTGCATCAAATGTGACAGAGTCAGTGTGTGCCTAGAAAGAGAACGGATAAGGCAGCAAGGTGAGGTGTGTGCAGGGACGTCATTGTGAAGGAGGATGCCTGTTGGTCACAGCCGCTTCAAGTTAGAAGGGCGTCTGGAAGTTACTCAGAATAATTAATCACTTCATAGATGAGACTCAGATGACCTTCCCAGTGCCCTACCATTAGGTCAGGCAGCCTCCCTCTGCCTGGCACAGGCAGGCCAGGGCACAGCCAAGGCAAGGCCAGAGGAAACCTTTAGAACTGTTTTGCACATAAGACAGTGGAGGGTGAAGGGCCACCCTCACATGGGGGCATGTCCTCTGTGTGGGTCCCACAGCCAAGTCCCAGCTCACACTGATGACCGCCCAGTATCCTCAGAATCGATTCCAGAGTCCGTCAGCTGGCAGCAGCCCTCTGGGCAGAAGCAAAGCGGCAGCAAATGCCACGGCTGCCCTGTTTGTGCTGCCTCTCGAGATCTGGTAAGGTCTGGAGCCCCTGCCAGGCTAAGGCTAGCTTCTAGTTGGGTCCTTTTACTGTTGGCCACCAGAAGCCATAGGATGCCTAGAAAGCTCTCACCTCGGTAAGGGCCAGGAGCTGGCACTGTGCCAAGCTTAATCTCCACACCCCAGAGCCTTTGTTTTAGTGTCAGGATGGGAGTAAGTATGGCACAACTGAGTAATAATAATGGGGTCCAGCTGGTGTGGCCCAGCCATGCAAAACTATGATAAAAAGTGGGTGTGTGCATGGAAACAGCAGGCCCTGCTTCCTAGAGTGGAGTCATCATTCATTGAGGGTGGCTGTTACAGAAAACAGGATTTGAGATTTGTGGCTACACTTAAACAGGTCTCTCTGTCTGTCTTGTACAAATGTTCAGACAACTACAGAGCACCTTAAATTTTCCCAGTTCCAGATTTCCAGCTCCCACAAGCATCCAGATTTCCAGTTATAGAATTTGAAAAGAAGAGGTGTCTGGCAACTGCAGAGTAGGCATTGATAGGGGAGAACAGCCTAGAACAGGCCAGGCCCCTGGCTGGCAGAGCCTGAACAGCCGGTCCCATGGCAGGCACAGAAGAGGGGCAGATACTGAGGCAAAGAACAGGCCTGGGGGAGCAGTGGGAATGGAGGCGCCATTCTGGGGGAGTAGGGGGAATGGAGGTGATGGCACTCTGCCACAGGTGGGAAGGGCTGGAGTCAGACCTGCTGGTGAGGAAGAATAACTTGGGGTGTAGCATGGCCACTCAGGACCCTTAAGAACGGCCCTGGGACAAACCTGTCCTATGATCTAGTTCTGTTTTTACTATTTACCAACACGGTGTTGAAGCTGGAGATGGAGGGGAGGAGGTATAGATGAGTAGGAATTCTGGAGTGGAGGCATTAGCAAGGACAGGTGCTGCGCACAGCACCGGCTGTCCTCCGGCAGGACCGTGTGACCCTCCTCAGCCAGCAAGTAATGGTCAGTGCCTATGCACGCAGGATCTAGCCTGGCACCAGCCTTCACATTCTAGACACTCCGGACCAAGACTGCTTAATCTTGTGTTTAGTTTGAAAGGAAGTTAGCCTGAGATGATTGTAATTACAATTTTGAATTTTTTGAGGCAGTCTTGCAGTGTAGCTCTGGCTTAGATACTGCTGTGTAGCCCAGACGTGCAGTAATCCTCCAGTCTCTGTGCCACTGCCTCCAGCCTCCCCTTTTATTTATCTACTTAACTTGCTGTTGCTCTTTTTGAGAGGAGGTCTGGCAGCAGCATCTTGGCTGGCCTCAAACCCGAAGTCTTTGTGGCTCGGCCTTTACCACACTAGGAATGCAGGTGCAGCCTGCACCCAGCAACAGAGCTACCCTGCTTCACGCACAGGACAGTACTAGAAGCCACAGGCTCCATGCTGCTTAGGAACAGCATGTCAGCTCCCTCGCATACTCAGATAATCCAGGTCTGAGTTTTCTATCACATAACCTCAGGAGTGAAAACAGGAGCATCCTGAGAAGGGCCTGCCGATAGGCTTCCTGAGTCAGGGCTTTGGAAACAGCTGTTCACGCACAGCGGGCAGGATGTGCAAAGGCTGAGAAGCTGTGGAAGAGCCGTGGAAGGCTCTGTCTTCAGGGTTTAGAAAGCCCGTTGGGAAGTGCTGACTGAAGTTAATCTGTTCATGCTGTAGTGAAATCATCTTAGAATAACCTCGTGCTCCCCACAGAACCCATCCCGTCTCGCTGAAAGCATAAGATAAAGCCAGTCCTGGGTATCGTCACATAATCCTAGTGCTCAGGGAGGCAGAGGCAGGTAGATTACTGTGAGTTCGAGGCCAGTGTGGTCTACAAAGCAAGTCCAGGACAGCCAAGGCTACACAGAGAAACCCTGTCTTAAACAAATAAACAAACAAAAAACGCTGAGGCAGGAGGATCCCAAACTTGAGGTCAGCCTACGCTGATCACAGGGACCTATCATACGCACACTTCTGCAGCAACAACCAAAAATCAGACTCTCCACCTGAGAACTGACGGCTCATGCTGTCCTCATCTGAAACAAGCAGCCTTTGTGACCAGCCAAAACATGATTAGGTTGCCCAGGAAAGGGTAGGGAGTGTCTCTTTTTGAACATCAGGTCACAGAGTAGTAAGAGCAAGGAATGCTTCCTCGGGTTTCAGAGAGCCCAGAGACCTTCAGAGCAAGAAGCCCGCCATCCGAGAGAGCAGCTGAACTGCAGACCCGTGCTCTGGCCACAGTGTCCCCCGCTCCCTGCCGTTCACTGCTTTCCTGTTGCTGTTTCCCTCCAAGGCTATGCCGGTGCCGCCCACTGGAGGGCCTACATTGTAGCCAGAGGGACGCAGCCTTTGGTCATCTGCGATGGAACCACTTTCTCAGAACTATGAGAAACAACTGCCCGAAGAGCTGAAAACCAGGCTGAGAAGAGTGGGGAGGGGGAATAAAGATGCTGAAACACTTCCCATGGCTCGGTCGCTCAGTTACCTGCCCTACATGCCCTGGCTGCCAGCTGTGTGCTGGAGACAGTGGCTTGGGCCTCGACCTCTTAGAGACTTTGCTCACATTTACCCTCCCCCAGGCCTTTGGACCCCAAGGTGTTGGCTATAGGCTGGTGGCTCCTTCCAAGTGTGTGGACATGGTTTCTCTGCTTGGCGGTGGAGGGGCTCTGCTTCTTGGCATGGAGGGGCAGCAGTAAGCCCTGATAGCACATCCTTCCCCAGGTTGGATCAGTTTGTCGACTTTTCCTGGCCAGAGCACCTTGTACTTTGTGGGAAAGCCATAACTACCTTTTAAAATTCACTACAATTTGACGGAGAATGAATTAGAACAATGTGGGGAGGATCAGAAAGCCAGAATTTTATTTTTTAAAGTGGGTGCTACCACCAGGTATCATGGTACACACCTTTAATCCCAGCACTGGGGAGGCAGGTCCGTATCTTTATGAATTCTAGGCTAGCCTGGTCTGCATAGAGCCCCAGGTTTGGCAAGGGTTACATAGTGAGGTTACATAGTCTCAACTCCTCCCCACACCCAAAAAAACGTGTCTCCTAGGTATAGGGCTGTGGCTCAGTGGTAGAGTGTTTGCCTCGCACATGTGAGCCCTGAGTTCAGTCCTCAGCATCACCTAGAGGAGAACGGAGAGTGCTCCTCTTTCATAATTCCCGGGACCTGAGTTGTGATGGATGCTGGTGCCTGGTTACAATCCTGAATACTACCAAATCCTGGGCCCCTCAGCCACTGGCCATCACATGTGTTCCTCAGAAGTTCAGCCTCCCCTAGCCGGCCAGCACCCTCACTGCAAGCAGCAGAGTAGTGTGCCACATCCCCTTCAGAAGGAGTGAGTTAGAGCTGCTGGCCTGAGGGAGATGGCACCTCCCTGAGATTGATCTTTAGGCCTGGCTTTCTAAGGAGATATTTGTCAGCAGCCTCAACGCTGATGTAGTGTGGCTGAGGGAGGAGCTGCAGAGCCAAAGCGTGCTGTCAGGTCTGCACCTCTGCAGCTTGACTCATGGCCCTGTCTCTGCCCTACCGTGATCCTCCCTTTCGTACCCTGAGGCAAGGTGAGGTACTGGTTTTGCCCGGATACAGGATTATCCTAACTTGTGATCTACTGTGCTTATTGCTCCCCACATGCTTTTGGGGTGTTCTCATAAAGCTGCAAATAAGGATGTTCTTTTTGCTTCCTCTGCCCTCCTTTTTGTTCTTATTTAGACAGGGTCTGGCTAGCCTCGAACTCAGGTAGACCACACTGGCCTCCACAGTGCTGAAACGAGAGGCTGCGGTGCACCACCGCTACACCCAGCTTCCTCTGCCCTCCTGTTGCTCCTTTATTGACAGGACTAGGTACTGGCCGCTGACCATGCCTCACACGGATGAAGAAAAACCAAGCTGCGTGGCCTTTGGTTTCCAACTGCAGAAGTCAGATGGCTGCACAGTAGGTCTATCTAGGCCAGGGCAGCCAGTGGTGATGGAAGTTGTGAGCCTCTGTGGGGTCTCTGCCATCCTTGGATGGACCCTGTACCTTCTCCCAGGCCCTCAGCCCCTTGAATCTCATGAGCAGCGGTGGTCAAAGAGGGCTCTGAGGAGGCTGGGACTGTCTGTGGGTTTATGAAGGCAAGCCTTCGCAGAGCTCAGGGTGGACTGGCTCAGAGCCTTCTTAAGTATGAACTGCGCCCGGGGGAGCTCTTCCTGAAAGAATGGCCCCTTTGTGCGGCAGATGGAGGAAAACAAACCTTTGCGCACATAAGCGCTTAGTTAGGGTTTCAGGGGCTGTAGCCAGAGGACCGTGCAGAGGCCAGCTCTGAGCTGCCAGTGGCCTTCCCTGGTGCCTGTGGGATGGGCTTACACTCAGGCCCTGGGTCCGAGGCTGCTGAAATTTGACCCTTGGAATTAACCACAGACTTCACCTCAGAGAGGAGGCTCAGAGGTAAACTGCAGAGCCACTGTCTCAGCCTGGGGCTTCCCTTGTGTTCATTCCCTGTTTGACTCCATGTTTAAACTCAGAACTTGAAAACTAAGAAAGCCTTGCCTGGATTGGCCATAGGGGCCACCTGGGAAGCCCTGAAAGTCCCAGGCTGCTCTGCAGTTGAGCACAGCAGGACCAGAGCTCTCTCACCTCACGGGATTCTGCAGGAAGGGCTGAGGGTTGCCGGTGGGCTTTCTCCAGCCAGCTGAGGCCTGGCATCAAGCAGCAAAGCCTCCCTCACGCCCCCCCCCCCCCATGCCTGGTGCTAGAGAAAAGAAGGTAGGTGATGAGGAACTGGCACTGGGAAGGGCAGGACCAATCTGACCATCTCACCTCAAGTGTCAGTGGGAACCAGCAGTGGTATTGTCCACAGGTTCATGGAGTGTTTACTAGGCAGTGACAGGGTGACATGTGTGAGTTAGGTTCATTTTCCTGTGGGACTCCAGGCTCTAGAGTCAGCTCTCTGGGGAAGCAAGAATTGTGAACCAGTTTGAAGCCATTTGAGTCTAAGTGGCCAGAGCTTAAGCAGTCGACTCTTGAATGGGCACCACAGCTGTTGCAGTTTGTGGAAGAGGCAGGGCCTGTCCTCATCCTCCTCTGGATTTTAAGGAGGATGGGGGGTGACAATGATTTAGGAGATTGGCATACACCAAGTTGGTGCAGTTCAGAACAAAGTTGGGGGTGGTTTGGCTAATTTAGTTGCTTGAGACAGGATCTTCTTATGTAGCCCTGGCTGGCCCAGAACTTACTGTGTAGAACAAACTGGCACCAACTCACACAGATCTGCCTCCCAAGTGCCGGAGTTGCGTAGTTTATTTTCTAAAAGAAAAGAATAGGGCTGGAGAGATGGCTCAGAGGTTAAGAGCACTAGTTGTTCTTCCAGAGGTCCTGAGTTCAATTCCCAGCAACCACATATGGCTCACAACCATCTATAATGAGATCTGGTGTCTTCTGGAGTGCAAGTGTACATGCAGATAGAAGAATGTATATATAATGAAAATAATAAAATATTTAAAAAATTTTAAAAAAAAGAAAAGAAAAGAACTCCCAAACCATTCTTGCCTCCAGTGTACCTCAAGCTACGATGCTGTGCTTTACCCATCACATGGGCCTGTGAAGCAGAGGCTGGTCCCCATTTCACAAGGAGGCAAGAACAGGAAGCGCACCCTTCTTGGCCAATAGGTGTGCCCCACTGGGGTGGGAGACTGGCAGGAAGGTCAGCAACACAGGAGCTCTGTGGGAAGTTACGTGCTGGAGGAAAGAACATCATATGATCTTTGTGAAAACCCTTCCCCTGTACGCCTCCCCACTTGAGAACTAATTTTGACAGCATGTAGCTGGAGCCCAGCTGCATCCAGCCGTCTCCCCATCACTGTGTTTCCAGATGTGTGTCCAGTTCCAGCTGTGGGTCCCTCTGGAGTTGCATCACTTGTTTTTCAGTTCTCTGTTTTCTAGTCTCTTCTTCCAAAACCCAGCACAGGCCTCAGTGTAGGAGCTGTTGTTTGAAAGGCAGTTTGGGTGATCCTTCCCCGCAGGTGACCTCAGCCTTGTCCCTGTGGTCTGGATGTGTTCAGCCCATCACTTCCACAGCAGCTATTCAAGTGTCCCAGCTGAGGCCAGGCTGTGGGGGGAAGAGAGGGAGTTGAGCCAGCACCCAGCCGGTGACTAAGCATCATTCTTTTAATGTGGTACTTCAGAACCCATGCATGCCCATGAGGAAGCTGTCCGTGCTTATGGAGACAGCGCATGGCAAGTGGAAAATGAGACTCTGGGCAGGCAGTCTGCCCGCACCTAGTCTGCCAGTCTTCCAGAAGAGCACGGCAGGAAGATGGACAGGTGCTCACCCTGTGCCCAAGCCTGCTTGCCCGGGCACTGCGTGGCTTCCAAGTTCTGGGCTCTGGAGAAGCCTCCAGCCAGCTTGTCGGCTGTCCGAGCCCCTTGGTGTCTGCTTTCCTTGCCCTGCATAATTTCAGCATCAGTGCTAAATGCATTTGTCATTTTCCTCCCTCTAGAGGCTAGACTGTCCAGACTCTAGAAGCCCAGCCAAGAGCGAAAGAATGTTACATAACCAAGCAGGGACCCTTCGGCCTCTGCTCAGTGCCTGTCAGTCAGTCAGTGGTCACTAGTCCAAGAGCCACAGCTGCCAACATCCTGCAGAGAAGGGGACCCCACCCGCTGCATCTAGAGTTTCAAACAAATTGAGGAGTCAGAACATCTGCTTTGCTCCAAGCTTTACTTGATTACACCACAGCCACTCTGGGGTGGGGTCCTCCTGGGCCTCCATCCTTACTCTCCACAGTGTCCCTCCCTCAAGCTGGACTCGGTGCAGGACCCCATGGACATGGGCACTTCCAGAAAAGCCTGTCCCACCAAGGCAACTTTCCACAGTCATGCCCAGCAAGGGGCTGACAGTGGCCTTTTACCCCTCCCTGCCTGTCTCCCTGACTCCTGTGGAGAGACCAGTGACAGATGCCCAGAGTAGGGGAGGAAAGGCACAGGGTAGGCAGGGACGCTCAAACATGGGCCTTCCTGCTGTCCCCAGGGGCCAGTGCAGTCTAGAAAGTCAAGGTGTGGCCTCTGGGTGGGCCACATGAGGAGAGAGGCCTTCACCTGCCCTGGCCACAGGAGCCCAGAGAATACCGTGCCAGCAGCAGTACGCTGCAAACTTGGGAAGGTAAAGAGCGGGTGTGAATTCAAGTTTCACGTGATGGAATTTTTACTTTTTGCAATTAAGAAAGTCTATGTTGCTTGGTTGAAAATTATCCTGTTCTTGGTGTCCTTTAATTTTCCCATTTTCTCTTTTCCCCAGGAAGTGGGTGGTGAGCAGACCCTTGAGGCAGGTCTGTGACACTCTCCTGAGGGCCGTCTGACTGGCCCTGCTCTCTGTCTCACTCTCCTAGGGCTGCGCTTGCACGCACAGCCCTCCTTCCTCCCGCAGCCTGAGGGCGTCTCATCTGCTTCCCCCCCCCACAAAGTCCAGAGTCTCAGCGCTTTG